AGTTAATATATAGCAAATATATAGTAAATTAATTAAATAATATACTAAATATCAATAATATATTTTTTAGCAATATAATTATATATTTTCCAATAAATATATAGTAATTTATTTGTTAATATATAGCAAATATATAGTAAATATAAAGGAAATTAATTAAATAATATACTAAATATTAACAATATATTTTAATATTACTATAATAATATATTTTCTAATAAATATATCATTAAAAATTAGTAAATTTATTAGATAATATATAGAAAATATAAAGAAATAAGTAATAATTTGTACTAAATATTAACTATATATTACTATACAGGAATAAATATTTTAAAATTATTACTTAGTTATATATAGTAAACATATAAGTAATATTTAAATATATTTATTATATATTTTTAAAATATTTTTCTAAAAATATATACTATTTTTACCAGTGTTGGTTACTAGTTTGTTGGCGATTTCTAGTTCTCTGCTCTCTGTGCATGCCCATTTTAGCCTATTATTGTAGTAGTATATTGCTTCTTCTTGGGCCTTATTTTTATCACTCTCTGATTCAAAATATACTGTTGCCACCTCTTATTGGTTTTTGTTGCGGTTGGATGAAATGTATACTGCTTTTGCTCTAATATTCTTGAGCTGCCTAAGTAGTGCTATTTCTATTGATATTTTAAAAATCTTCTTTGCAGTTAGCTTGTACTAGCTTCTTTCTACTAGAATATTTTTGTCAAATGTTCCTTGCATAGCTCTAATCATTTTGCCTTCTTCGAAGTGTATTGCCCAGGCTTCTTTTAGTGCAGTAGTTTTCTTGCTGTCTTTAGTTTCGATTTCTACTAATATTGCCTTAGTTTTGCTATTTGCCATGAAGCCCTTAACTGTTGCTCTGCCATAGTAGCCCAGACACTTTTTGATTTGGGCAGCTCTTGTAATGTGTGGAATATCCCATAGTGTGAGCTATATTTTTTCTCTTATCTTTTTGATCTTTTTAGCTTTTAGCTTTGCTGCCTCTTGTATTTTGATTGCCTCTGTAACATCTTCTGTGCTTTCGTTTATTATAGAATTCAAATATGGGTTGATGTTTTCCTCTTGTAGACTGTTTTCTTGGTTCTTCACTGGTTTGATTTCTTGGGCTTTGTGACTTGCCAGTTCTTCCTCTATTTTTTCTGTTTCATAGTCAAAGATGCCACATTCTGATAGTAATAGTGCTGATTTTCAGATGGATATATTATGTTGTTGCATTCCACTATAACATTTGTCTTGGATAAATCTGTACTCTTCTTGTGATATTTTCTTTTTGGCTACCTTTTTGTATTCAATCCAGTCATAGATTTCTGTCATTTTACGGATTAGAAATACCAGCTCCTGGTCTTTTAGACCTAGCTAATTAGCTATGTTTTTATCCTTTTCCGCCACTTCAATTTTAAGCTCTACCATGTATCTTTGTATAATATGGCTTTCTTTTGTGAAAAGGTTTTCAAATTGGCTTGCTCTTTCCATCTTGAATGTTAGTCACGTGCTGGTTAGTCTGTTTGCTTGTTCGTCTGCACTTCATGTGTTTGTTGTTACAAGGTACTGCTTTCTAAATGCAGCTATGTGTAGTTGTTTGTTTACTTGTTTGTTGTGTGTTACAGATTGTGATCTGCGTTACAGGGTTTTGACCAATTTTCCAAGTTTTCCACTTTTTTGCAAGTGCAAAAATATTTTCTCCTCTAGAGGCTTGAGTTGTTGGCCTTTATACTCTGACCTTTTATTAAGCTATTGTTTATTTGTTATACTTTTTACTTTTGCTTAGAGATTTTGCTTGTTATCTAGATTAGATTTTCTTTTACTGCTATATCTTGTTTTTGAAAATAAGGATTAGTAAGAAGAGTTTTCTGAGAATAACAACTTTCATTATTACACTTTTAGTAATTTACTTATAAAAATTATGACTTAGCTTAGAAGCAAAGATTTATATATAGGCGAAAAACATATAAAATTTAAAAAAATTTAAAGAAAAAATTTTATAGTAAAAATTTTGATACAAGAACTTCAAACTTTTATTATACTAAAGTTTTCTAATAATTTTAAAAAATTTTCTTAACAAAGTTAATTAAACAAATCTAAAATTAAATATTTTATTTAGAAAATATATAGCTAAAATCAATATTTAAAATTTTATTAAAAAAATTTAAAATTTAAAAAAAGTTGCAGGCAAATTTGGCTACAAAACAATTTAAGGGATACAAATCTAGAGAATTTTCATCAGACTCAGATTTATTTTTGCCAAAATTCCATGCCTATACATTTTGTAAAGCCTCTTGTATATTTCTAAGATCTAATCTATCTCGATATTTCAATAATGATAATGCAAAATTTTGACAAAGCAGGTCTGTAATACATTTTTTTTTTGGGTTATTTTGTTAATCCTATTTATTTGATTAGTCCTTATTGTATTTATTTCTCATTTAAGCCATTTATTCTCATTCACTAATCTGGTTGTATAATCTTAAGCTTTAGGCGTGTTTCTAGCTAATTTTGATATTTCTCGTATTCGGGTTTTTAATTTTGTCTCTCATTTATCGAATTCTGATATTAATCTATCCTTATTTAAAATTTCTTTGTTTTTCTTTTTATTTTCATCTTCGAGCTGTCAGACAATTCTTTTTAATTTTGAAATTTCTTCTATTAATTCTTCTTTGTCTTGTTTAGAAAGTTTGATAGTGTTAATCAACTCTTCTTCAAGAAATCGTATTCTCTCTTTCCATATTCCAATAACTCTTTCTAAAGTATATAAATATTGTTTGAAATTCCTATTTGATTTTGCTAATTGAGATACTACTTTATGGAGTTTTTGATTACTTTGCTATAATTCCTCCATGTTTTTTTACTATAGTATAATGGAAAAACCTTTGATTTATATCGATCTACAAAAAGTCTATAAACTCAATTAAGAAATCGCTAGGAGTAAAAAAGTTAAAGATCGAAATTTGATATTACAAAAATCTACAATTCTTATTGATTCCCAAAAAGCATATAATTTTGACCAATATCTTGCTTTACAGAAGCTGTATTATCAGCCCGAGGGTCTTTATCAAAATGTTAAGAGATTGTAAAACACTTGTAAGAAAGCTGGCTACAACTTTCTATTTAATGATATAAAAAAATAGCTTGATAGCTAAGCAATATATTAAATTTTTCATCCTCTACCAAAGAATATACTTTATGCTAGTTACTCTAAAATTACAAAACCGAATTTTGTACACCAGTGCGATTTAATTGAAATACTATATAATGAAGATGTGGATACAGGTTTGTTAGATAATAGCCTAATATTTACTATGTACTATTGGTTATAGATTGTATGACTAGATATAAAGATTTTATTTTTTTAACATCAAAAAGTAGTGAAGAAGTCACGAAAGCATTTAAGAGTATATATGATAATCCTGACAATCCTCTTAACTAGGCTTGGCTATTACAATGTGATGAAAGTCGTGAGTTTATAGGAAGCGTGACATTGATAATAGATGAATACAATGTTAACATCTGAAGAATTAAAGCACGTTTCAGGCATACAAGCTTAGCTATGGTTAATCATTATGCTGGATCATTTGAATTAAAGGTTTTTAAAAACCAGTATGCAATAGAGTTTCTCTTACTTATCGGCGAACACTGTAGAGAATATGAATAATTTGCAAGAAGAATTGTTGATAATATGAATAATACTACTACTTGGTTAATTAGAATGAGTCCCAGTAAGGCCACAAAACTTGAGCGGGTGTATTCTAAACCATTGATAAAATATAATCACCTGATAGAACTGCGACCATCAAAGGGTACTACTATCCGATTTTTGCTTGCTTCTGGAGAATGGAAAAATAATTCTTTCGAATAACATAGAATAACAGATCTAATATGGTTTTCTAGCCTGTATATGATCCAGAGAATTGTTGTTAGAAAGAATCCTCCTATGTCTGTTTTATATTACTTAGATAAGTCAGGACCTCGACATCTCTTTGTAAGGGAACAATTAATGCATATTAAGGAAGAGTCTATGTTACCTCCTAGGTAGGTACTGGGAGATAACCAAATGCATATAAGGCGCTCCTTATAAAAGTTTTTAAGTCAATGATGCAATAGGGTATTGTAATAAGGATTACTCCTTCTCTATAACATAATGCTCTTTTTTCCCAATCACATCAAATTTGTGCATCTAGATTCATCTGCCCTTGTGGGTGAAAAAAAGGGACAATTTGATAATGTTAATTACTACTATATTCAAAAGCCAAGCCTAGCTCTTCATTATATCTATCTAGATGTAATCCCTCCAAGAATTTAGGTTTTCTTGGTGAGAATTTTTTATTTAATAAATCCTCAAATATATATCGGCATGTTCTTTCTGGTATATTGGGACAAATGTTATACCATCTATAATTCTGTTTCATATTTTTATAGAGTGTCTCTCATTGATGACCCTTTTTGCATGCCTATAAATATGTGTTAGAACTAACTTTTGCTAAACACTTGCCTTCATACTTTTAGGCATATACCAAAGCTTTAGTATTTATTCCATCTTGCATTTTATAGGTACAATAGAATATCATATACAGAAATTTGTGAAATAGGTGCATCTCAGAAAAATGTTAAATTTAACTCAGCTACTACTCTCAATGATCCTCTGCTCAAGTATACAGTCAGACCTCTCTATAATTACACACTCAGGATATGAAAATATGTAATTGTAAAGAAGTGTGATAGTTATGAAAGTTAAATTTAATATATTTAATAATAGTTTGTTTTTAAAAAAATATGCTTATAAAGAAAATGAGCTTATATAAGAGGTGACTATAGAGAGGTTTGACTATACATCCTTTATTTTTTCTAACTCTGATATATAGAGGCTAGTCACAAGACTAAAAATAAAATTGAAATTAACTGGTATTATTGTATAAGAAAAAAAAAATAAATAATACATATTATAAGTTTTATTGTAAAGTTTTTATATATTTTTTAAGCTATTTTTTTGCCTCGTTCTGAGAATAGACATCAATTTGTTTCTCTTTTTCATCTGAATCTTTAAGTTGTATGATTTTATGTGAAGAAGGTGATTGATATTTTTCATTCTCATTGATAAAGCATGCACACATTTCAACCGTAGTGCCTAAATAATAATTAATATTTATTTCCATGTTTCACTCTTTTGCTCATAGGAAGATATTCATATGATTGGTTAATTTTGTAGATCTACCTGTGATTGCCTGTGACAATTAACCAATCAAAACATATAATTTTTAAGAAGATTTATCATTTTTAATACTACTAGAAAACGAAAAAAAAACTTCTTATAAAGCTTACAAACCAATAAATATATAAAAAAATTTATTATATATACTTTAGAGAATAGGTAGATACGCGCAAAGTGGGATAAATATGATATTTATTATTAATAAACCTGAACTTATTAAAGAATCTACAAGATATATAAATCAAAATATTGATTTTATGAATGACTAACCCAAACACATTACAAGAATGTCCAAATTTAATATTAAATTCAGATCTTCTACTATTAAAGAGCTTGTTCCTACTCAAGTTAAACGTTAGCAATAAGATTTTCTTTAGATCTAACATAATAAAGTAGTTATGAACAAAACTTATTCCAGTTACTTTCACTCACAATATAATTTCGCGTAGTCCAATAAACGGAGTATATTTTTTGTCTTCTAAACAAAGTATGCAGGGAGTGAGATGATTTAGAGATTATTTTGCATAGTGAATATAGATGTTGCTTTGAAGTTAGAAAAGGCTTTTGTAGTGATTTTTTATTGGTAAATTGTTATGTTCTCAAAAAGTATTTTAAAGTGTATAAATAAGTTACTCAAGTAATTGATTTATATCAGCCAATCAGACAAAAGTCCTCCTATAACTCTTTTGCTATATTTGCATACTCCATATAATCTCTAACTCTGTGTGGTACCTTTCTATCCTGTTCATTATAGAGAGGCAGACCTTTGATGACTATGTAGCTAAACCGTTCACCAGGATCAGGAATTCTCTCATTTTTATTTTTCATACGTCCCATAAAGCAATTGTTGCAGAGATTTTTTTTTCTTAGGCTTCCATGTACTTATTATGATAAATTTATTAAAATTCCATTTCTTATTCTGTGCTTCTCTAAGAGTATCTTCAACAATTTTGTGAATTGAGCATGTATTATTTATATTCATAGCCTCTCTCATAATTCTTTCTCCAATGAATTTGAGAAGCTAGGATTTACCTTGTTTTATACTATCTATCCCTTTTATAAAAAGGTTTTTCAGTTTAAAGTTTACTTCATCTTTATGTCCAATCCTAAAATACTTCTTTTTGCCAGTAAAGTAAATGGGAAATAATACCTTTTTATATGCCATATTTAGATAAGAGGTTTCACTTTTTATCCTAAGATAGGTATTTATTTGATTGCACAACTTTTCTATTACAACCATAATAATTTTGACTATTTCAGCCCAGTATGCTTCTTTGAAAAGTTCTTTTCTAGAGAAGGCCTCATTGTATTTATTGTAATACCTATCTGGGCAGGTAAGATACAAAGAATCAGTATCACTATATTTTATCCCAAACTCTTTCATTGTTACAAATTCTGCCACAAGATTAAGGTTGTATTTTCCTGCTGAAGTAGTTCTTCCAGCTAATGCATGAAGAAAAATTAGAAATTTTGAGTTTTTGGCCTTCCTATAAAAAGTATTCATATATACCTTCAGGGCTTTTTGCTTTGAATCAAAATAATTGTAATTGAAGCATACAGATAAATATTCTAAATTTAAACTCTCTGGAATCCTTTTGCCTCTTTTTTTAGCTGAACTTATTATCTTCCCAAGTTGTTCCTTCTTCTTTCCTAATAAGGCAAGATGTGCTTTAAGCTCTACTCTCTTGTTGAATAAATCCTCTAATACAACAGGATATAAACCCTTCTTTTCGAATTGATTATCATGCCTTACACTCCAAGCTTGGATAGTGCGGTTATTAAATGGAAACTCAATCTTATACAACTTGCTTTCATTATTTTGTGCAATATCAGCCTCTCTATGTATTAGTATTATTTTATCTGGAGAGAGATTGTAAGCCATGATGAGACTGGGATATAATAAAGCAAAATCTAATCTCATTACAGGTCTTCTTATTTCAATTCCTTTTTTAGGTAGAAATATGTACACGCCAGGATACTTACTCTTTTCTGTGTTTTCAGATATCCTTGTACTAATTACCATATCTCATTTAAAAGCATAAACATTCAGAAGGTTTTGTATCTTCATTTCATTTGCATGGTAGTGTGAGTCGAATAAAGATACATAAGCTATTGAAGTGACTTCTTTGTAATCATTTATTTGATTTAGCTTGACCAAAAGCTCTTGATAGTGTAGTGCATCTATAATACTGTAATGTGCTACTTCACACATATTTCTCGCAGTTGATGAGGAGAAGCTTTTTTTTGCTTTTAAATAGATTTTCCACATTTTATCATATAGCATGTTGGCCTTAGTCTTAAGACCGCATTTTTTTAAGAAAAATTTGAGTAAGCCTTCCTTTTCAACTTCAGAATGAGAAAAATGTCTTTTGAAGCACACCCAGGTATCAATTGGTATGCAATCTGGCAGTTTAAGAAAGCTAGAAGTAAAATTCTCTTCCGCACTAATTTTGATTTTAATTGGACCGCCTATATATTCTTTCTTCTTTGGATCCTCCTTGTCTTCCTCAGGAGGCTTAACAGCATTCTTTGCCTTAAAAATATTTTCAGATTTCGCTTCTATCTTTCCGCAATATTTCCATTTAGGATTTCTTCCTTTGTTTCAAACTTTCCTGTCATTTGCTCTCATATTCATTCGAGTATATCAAGTTAATATGCTCTCTCCATAATAAAACACTAATTATAGTTATTAGGTGCAAATGCTCGCCAGCAGAGGGCAAACACTTTCAGCAAATTTTCTTGGTTTCTACAAATGATTATAGTCCAGCATAGATCTGGTTCTGTCTTAACATCGACAAGACATATTTGATTTAGTGGTTTTGGATCATCTTTTTAATGCAATATTATACAAATTATAAAAACATTATGATTCAGATCAAGGACTTTGGAAAATTCATCCAACTCTTGTGATTGCGTCTCTATATCCCATATGAGGACAAGAGTATGATCCCATAAGAGAGCTGTAATAGAGAATCGATCACTTATTGTTGTAAAATCCTCTAGTAGACAGAAATCTTTTATAGATACATAGAATTCATGCAGACAGAGCGAGCTAGTTCATTTGTCTTTTTTGCATATATATTTGTTTATTCTAGACCACCCAGAGAGTTGGATTCTATTTTTTTGAGCTACCTTTCAGTGGAATGAGTATAAATCATCTGAAGCAGTTTCAAAATTATTATCTTGAACAGCTTTAATGGCTCTCTTTCTCTCTCCAATACCATTTGTATAAATTCATAAATATAGTTTTTTTTCGGTATAGTATCCATGAAAAGAAAATGCTTTAATATGCTCTATTTTAAATAATTTTATGATACCAAAGAAAATTTCATTTACCTTTTTTTTGTATTTATCTGGAGTTTCTCCATCTAGTATACGAATGTTAAAGAAAACCTGAATGCCTATAAGAGTTACCAGTACCTTTTGGCTATTAATAAGACGACCATAAAGACGCAATACATAGCAATAAGTTCCATTTATCTTTTCTGTTGGCCCTTCATTCTCAATGGCCATAAATGGAATATCACGATGATTTGCTTTTTCATTTTCAAGAATTGTGGACAATCCCTTATCACCATTTTCTCTAACTATTTCATCGAGAGTTAGAAAATTCATCAAGTACTTTTCACCAGAATAACAAATCATTTAGGCTTCCATTTTATCTTTTCCAGCCTCTGGCTAGAAAAGAGTAGAGCTGTCCAAATTCTCTGAAAGCTCGGATTGGGTCATGATATAATATCACAAATATACAGTTTGAGAGAATATATATATTCTGAGAGAAAAAAGTTTAAAATAAAAATTAATTCTGAAATATATAAATCGATATATAAATCAAGAGGACCTGATTTACTAACTCTTCCTGATGATCACTTGTACCAAAATTTTGCTAAAACAAAACTTAAATTTTCTTAAAACTGCTCTTTTTAACACATCTTTTTTATTAAATTTTATTGTTCTACACCCCAATTTACATATAGCTACCAAGTTTTATAGCTCTAAACCAATTTTCTAATTAAATTTAAAAATTTTTTGTTAAATAACTACAATTTGAGTTTACTCAAATTCCGCCAAGGAAACTAGTCTTGCTTCTTAAGACAAAGTCCTCCGGCTCGCTCCCAGCTTCATTTTGACATAAAATTCAGTACAAACGGCCAAAAACTGACCATTCTATAGTCAAATTACTCCAAACTCCCTTTTCTATAACTTTTTTTCTTTTTTTTCTTTTTTTCCCTTTTTCTCCCCTTTTTTCCTACCCAAACCCAGCCCCAAACACGTTTTGGAATTTCTAAAACTAGTGGTTTATTCAATTAATAATCTTATTTAAAAATTTTCTTTTTAAATTTACACAAAACAAATAATTACAAATCCATATTCTTTTTAATTTATATAATTTTAAATAGTATTATCTACTTTTTTAGTAACCTTACACAGACTACTTTTGTACTACAAGCCACACCAGCCATAGCCACACTAGCAATAGCTACACTAGCCATAGCCACACTAGCTACAAAAGTTTTACTTATAGTATTATATTACATGAAACAAATCTTATCAATTTTTGAAGCTCTCTTTGCCCTCTTTTAATAATATCACTACTAGTCTATCAAAATGCCTATCCTAACTACTCAAGATTCTGATTTTCATAATTTTGACTACTATTACAACAAATACCCAGACCGTTTTGGTATTAAAACAAAAGAATCTGACCCACTCACCCTATATATCTTACCCAAAGATATTAATCCTACTAATTGTAAACTTAACAAATTTCATTATTATTTTAAAATGCCAACTCAACTTGCTTTATTTACTTGTCTATGCGGCAAATTTCATACAAACTTTATATCCCAACACTACCAAATTTCTCATACTACACCACCCAGACAAACTACTAGCTCTACAGCAATCCAAATGCAATTATCTTTAAAAAACATTTCAATGAAATTACAGAAATATTACCCAAATCACCTCTCTCTAAACAACAACAAGAATTTCAATTAA